AAAATGGAGGTCCGCCCTGCAACTGCTCGCCTTCCCACTGCGCGTCGTCAGCGCGAGACAGGGCTCCGGCGCCCGGAACCGGCCTTGCCCATTTTACACGGCAGGCTCGACCGCCCTGCCCGCACCTGCTCTGTGCCTCCCTGTTCGTTGCAGCTCGTGCGAAGCGATGCTGTAACTGCGGCCCCAGGGATGAAGCCGGCCTGGCAGGAGGGCTTTGCCATGACGGGGAGTGGAGACAGGGCTAGCGCCAGTGGGCTCGGGCCCCTGGCCCTGGGTAGGAGCGCTGGGAAACCGCTGCCCAGGATGTCGGTCCTTGCGCTGGGATGGCAGAGGGTGACAGCTTCGTTGTCCCCTTTCTCTTCACCCCTCTAGACGCAGCCTGGGTGGTTTCAGCCGTCAATTTTAAGTTAGCATGTTTAGGAATTAGGCAATGTCTCTTTTAAAAAATAATTTTCTTGTGGATATATTTGTTTAATTTAAGGAGATAACTATTGGGTCACCCGGAAAGTCGTGACGCCTCTTTTGCATAGAAAAACATGAAAACCTTCGTCATGGCTTTTCTGACCACCCGATCGAGCCCCGCGTCCTTCCACAGTGAACTCAGAAGGTTGGGAGTGTCCTGCACATTCCTAGGAAGATTTCAACTCGGAGCTTTATAAGCAAATAGGTTTCAGCTACTGAGCCCAGCGCGCTCCCTCCGTGCGGGAGCCCACCCTGGAAAGCCTGGCCTGTTGCGTACCCTCAGCGCAGACAACGCGCCGGGTATACTCAGCCACTGGTCACGGCTGTTCGCCACGTCCCAGCCTAGGTCTGACCTGCCGGGCGTCAGTCACCGTCAATGCCGGCGTGGAGACAGGGCAGGCCTCACTGACACCGCGCCTGGCCCAGCGCCGGGCCTAGGATGGGGTCAGAGAGGAGCTGGCGCTGCTCTGAGGGAGAGCAGGCACACGACGGCCGCATGCTGGGGGTGACAGTGTGCAGGTGCCAGCATGGCGGAGCGGCATGACCGGCGAGAGGCGTGGCTCTAGGAAAGGCTTTCTGGAGAAGGAAGTGGCCGACCGTGCTTGGAAAGACGACAAGGAATTTTCTCAGTAAGCGTCTAGGCAGGAAGGCGGTGCAACACGCACCAACACAGACCTTCGCAGCCCACCCCTGGGGACGGGGCACAGGCCTGGGCGGGCAGAGGACGGGCTCGGACCTTGGCCTGAACACAGACCTTCACAGCCCACCCCTGGGGACGGGGCACAGGCCTGGGCGGGCAGAGGACGGGCTCGGACCTAGGCCTGTACACAGACCTTCGCAGCCCACCCCTGGGGACGGGGCACAGGCCTGGGCGGGCAGAGGACGGGCTCAGACCTTGGCCTGAACACAGACCTTCACAGCCCACCCCTGGGGACGGGGCACAGGCCTGGGCGGGCAGAGGACGGGCTCGGACCTAGGCCTGTAGGTGGGCGGGCAGCATGGAGCTGTCGGAGCAGGCGGTGCGCTGGGGTGACCGCGGTGCTCCTGGTTGGCCCCGGCACCGTGCAGGGAGGCGGCGGGCATGCTCTGCATTCGAGGTGGGGGCGCGCTGGTGTAGGTCGGTGGGAGCACTCGGACAACAAAGGCGGTGGACCTCTGGACAAGGGCCCAGTTCGAGAGGCACTTGGAAGAAGGCCAGCGCACCTTGGTGGAGAGGAATGCGGAGTCCCCCAGCTCACCTCTCAGCGTCCCGGGGCCCCCACCTCATCTGTGCTGGTGGGTCACGCAGCGTCCCATCGGGAGAGCCCAAGCCCTGGCCGGGTTAGTCTTCACAGGCATTTGCTGGAAGGCGAGTGGAACACTCTGGAATGCTTCTGTCCGCGCGTGTGTCAGGCCGGTAGTTGCTAACTAGGTGCGGCGTTGCTTAAATACTTTCTTATAGACGTCTCGAGTGCCTGATCTGGCTGACTTTTCCAAATCCCTTTTATACACCTAAAGACACATTCGAATAGAATCTCTGAAAAGCATCTTAGCAAATAGCAAACTGAGCAGCCCATGAACAGGTATTAATGGGTTTGCTTATTCTTTTAATTACAAAGGAAATATTCCTAAAAAGAACCCATGTTGTGAGTAGCAGTTAGGGCTCTGTGGGCTTCAGACCAGCGGCCTCAAAGTGGATCGGCCCCGCAGGGGATCTACGCTGGAGCAGGGGTGGAGGCGTGGCCTCGTCTAGGCAGACGGCCTCGTCCATGCAGGCTCCACTGCCTTCGGCTGTGCCCCCAGCCACTACCCATCGGCCACACCACGGAAGCGGTTTCCATCCCCACACACGCCAGGCTAACGTCCCGGGGTTAGCAAGAGCCAGGAAAGCCCGATAATCCCAGAGAGTCAGGAAAATGTCCAGGCATGGGCGGGGCATGGTGGGGGCTGGCCAGCAGTTTCTGGCATGTCCCGGTGAGCCCGCCGGGCAGTTCGGGAAGCACAGCCCTGCAGGGTTATCGGCAAGGTGCGGCAGGTGTCGTGGGTGCCCCTGGGCACCAGGGGGAAGGCGGTGGATGCCGGTGCACTTTGGGACCAGGCAGGAACCCCCTTGAGCCTCTCTGTCCAGGCTGGGGGCGGCCCGTGGGCGTGGCCAGGTGGAGAGCAGCTGGTCATGAAGCTTTTGGACTTAGCTCGTGGTTGCCTTAGCTGCCCACTTCCGTTTGCTCAGGCTAGTGAAGCGTGAGCAAGGACAGGCCACCTTGGAGGGCCGGCAGAGTGACGCCCGTGCCTGGCTGCACTGGCCTATGTGAGGCTCCGGGTGGTGAGGACCTCATGTCTGGAGCTGGAGTTTTGTGCCTTTCACAGACCGGTGCCAAGATGAGGTGGCTGCACCCATCCATAGTGAGCCTGGGAACTTAAACCTGGCCGTCAGTGAGCCGGGTCAGCCGTGTGGCCACCTGATAGTCACCGTTCAAAGTGCAGCCAGACAAGGAGAGCTGGGCTCCTGCTGCATTTTGGAAAACAGTCTT